CCGCCCACTGCTGCTCACTGGCGAGAGAGGAGGGTGAGTGTGATATGGCACTGGATTGTCCACAACCCCCCGTCCCCTCTGGGGACCCAGAGATAGAAGAATTTGCTCTTTTGTCAAGTATTTCGGTGCTGGCGGAAAAAAAGGAAACAAAAGATTCTCCGCCCGGCCGCCCTCGGCATGAGCGGGCTGAGGTGCTTCCACCGTTCCTTGTTCCTTGAGAACTTCCGGGTCGTGACCACCCTCGTGCAAGTCCCTCAGTGCCTTGGCATGGTGCACTTGCAACAACGCCGAAGCGTGTAAGGCAGACGCAGCTTCTCCACAGGCTGTATAAGCACTGCCGATCAGGGCCGACGAGTGCCTACAAATGCAAGAGGGGAGCAACGGTTTGCCCCGCCAAGTGGTAGCGGCATTTGGACACAATTGCATCGCAACTGACCGCTCCACCTGGTGAACTCCCGTGTACCCCCGCGCTGGACCCCCATCAAGGGTGGTGAGGGAGGATGAGCCACTGGGCCAGTTTCTGGCAGTGAAAGGTGCCGTCCATGACCCAGTGATCTCATCATGCACCTCCGGGAAGAAAGGCACTGGGGTGGGGCCCTGAGAACCAGCGCGAGCCACCCCGAGAAACCAATCGTTCAACCTTGAGGGTTCGGGATGCAGTGGAAGATTCCACTCGAGCCCGACACTCTCGGCGGCGCGGGAAAGCATAGCCATCATTTCCGGGTCCGTATCCGGCACCGCTGGCCGCCCCGAGGGCGGCAACGCTGACGGATCTTCATCCCCAGAAAAGTCTGGCTCACCCTCAGATGCTGCAATCGACATCCGATTGTTGGGGGGAGCCTCGGAAGAAACAGGTGGTACCCCCCCGGAGGGTCCAGCCTGCTCTTTCGAGAGTGCCACTGGTTTCGAAGTGTCGGCGGGATGGGGAATCCCCGGAGGGGAATTCCTTACAGTTACCTTAAGACCAGTCTGCCCACTGACAGAAAAATGGCGCCCCTGGCTGCCACCAGATGGAACCCCAGATCTAGGCAGTGGCACGGTCCGCAACTCCGAGATGGTCATACCCCCGCAATGGGAGCATGATCACAAAGAGCGTGCTTGACTGTAGCTTTCTCTTAGCAGAAGGTCAGGAGCAGAACAATAGAACCGCTCGGCTCCGAAGCGAAAAGCTGAATATGCGCTGCATCTGCTGCCTACTTATACTCACGCTGTGATCAGCGGCAGCTGGATGCAATAATCGCATGCCAATGTGCATTGGCTCATTTAGTTTACACTCGAAGTAGATTGGTCTCTCTAAGCGAGATCCCAATTCGTCGGTCATCCGACGTGACGTCGAGAGTGACCGACTGAAAGGGAAATATATTGTTCCACTTCAGTTACTTCTATATGTTCTATTTTTTAGTTGTTGCTGAATATGCCATATTAGTGACCATGACAACGGGAAGTGTAATGCGATAATGTGTGTGCTGCTGTACAGTGATTAATGTTGTGACAGTAAAAGCAGTACTTAGCGGGAATCTAAATCACCTCATGGGAACATTTGTGTGTGTGTGTGTGTGTATGTGTGTGTGCACGCTTAATGATATTTGTTAATATCTAATATCATCGTACTTTACTGTTTCTGCCCCATAGCACAGAAACTGAGCGAGAGAGGAAATTAAAGTAAATGTGTTCATATCAGAGAATTCATCAATTCAAAGGTGGGAATTATAGAGGCAGGAAGTTCATTCAGAGGGCAACATCAATCCTGTGCTGTAAAGGAACTTAAGGAGTGATCTATATGTGTACTCACTTCCTGTTTGAAACTTACAAATCCTTATGCATTATAGTGATGAGTTTTGCATGGGCAAAAACACTAATGCTTTCTTTAAAAAATGACTTTTTTACTGCTGTAGTGAGTCTAATGTTGTCCAAATAATTTAATAATAATTTAAGTTTGGTGTTGACACAAACATCTCTGGAGTGTCCCATTGGGAATTAAGGAAAATACACTTAGTTTTTCTAAGCTGATTTTCTTTTTTCACACAATGTCCTTCAAGGGAGACATTCCCCCGTAAAGTTGTGTGAATAATTTATCAGCAGGTTCTCAAATAGCAGGACTGGGAAACAATTAAACCGGGTGAAAAGACGCAAACAAGCGACCTTACAGCAGCTTTTGAGCCTGTTTACATAATTCAAACATATTTGCAACACATTTAACTTTGGTATTGTGAGGTATTTATTTATTTACTGTTTGTTTGTTTGTTTAAATGCATTAATTATTTATTATATATATATTATATATATATATATTTGTTTTAATTATTATTATACTGCCATGATCAGACACACAATACTCGTAAAGCGGCTGAAGAATCAATCTCTGTCTCTGGCGCTCTGGTTGCTAGGAGACAATGTAAGAGCAGGTGCATGAAGGCTCTTGACTTCTCCTGCTCTCGTGCTCTCAGAAATCTAAAGGTAAACCGCTGTGTGGTGCTGCATTGATGATTTCGTGCCATCTTCTTGCAGGAAGCCCAAGGTTTAGAAAACACGGAAAGGTCATAATAATCTTATGATATTAGGTGTACATAATGACAGGAAAAGCTGCTTTAATGCTCATAAACATGCAAGAATTGCACTGAAAATCTGCTATTCAAAATCTAACTTAAACCTAAGGATTTTAGGATTCATTATAATTGAAAACAAAACAAACAAAATTTATGATGTGAAATTAATAAGAAATCTTTCAGATTCAGTACTGTTTAGATCTCCATTCAAATTGAACCCTTTTACTGTGCTCAAAGTCCTTTACCTAATTTGGTGTTTCTGGTTAAAAATTGCTTGTAAATCTCTCATTATGCTACATTATCACCAAACCTTGGACCTTTTTTGTTATCTTGTTTTTAACACAGGCTTTTTATTTCTTTTGGGAGCTGATTGGTGATAGGCATTATCTGTGCTTTTGCACCTCATTTAAAAAAAAAAAGCATCACTTGTGGATAATTTTTGCTATATACATAAAAAAAACTGAGGCTCTGATAAGGCTTTTTTCAAGAAGAAATACAAACCCTGTGCTAAATAAGAGACAAGATGATAAAGAGAGTGAATATTTGGTAATAATATAGCATAACAAGTAATATGCAAGCAATGTATTTTTTGTAGCCTAGACTGTAAAAAAATATTTTTCATGGTTGTAAATAAAAGATTATTGGAGTATGTTTTACAAGAAAATATCATTTTAGTCCTCCTACTTCAATTTCTGAGTGTAAATTGTTTCTACATTATTTTGGTTTTCAGTGTAGTAATTTTTGATCACAGGTAATAAGGCAAAACATTATCAAAATAAATAAATAGATAAAAAGAAAGAAAGAAAGAAAAATAATAATAATAATTTGGGACATAGTTATACCTTGTGTAAGCAAATTTGTAAGTCAAATGCAGTAACATTAACTGGAGAGTTCACCCAAAAATGAAAATTCAGTCATTAATTCTCACCCTCATGTCGTTCCAAATGTGCAAGAACTTCATTCATCTTCGGAACACAAATTAAGATATTTTTGATGAAATCCGAGAGCTTTCTGACCCTCCATAGACAGCAAAGGAACTGACACGTTCAAGGCCCAGAAAAGTAGTAAGAACATCGTTTAAATAGTCCATGTGACATCAGTGGTTCAAATGAAATGTTATGAAGCTATGAGAATACGAAACTAAAATAACGACTTTGTTCAACGATTTCTTCTCTTCCGTGTCAGTCTTTGCCATGCATTCAGGGGAGTACCACAATGATAATTAATGTGGGAGGAGCCAGATAATGGAGGAATGTGCTGCAGGTTATTACTGAGAGGTCTATTAAAAACTCTCAGTTGAGTGGAGAAGAAAGAATAATCGTTTGCTGGAGAGTGTTTGATGTGTGGAAATGTGTTCCAGCGTGAGTGTGATTTCTGAGAAAATTGTGAGTCTTATTTGATCTGCTTGGATAAAAAGTTAAAGCAGGTGGGGGAATCTCTTCCAGTTGTTTTTGAGGTTTTTGTTGTTGTTTTGGGAGAATTTAGTGGGCCTCAGATCTGTTTGAGCTTTATCTGAAGGGGTATTTCCTCTACTGTCTCACCACCTGAGAATACAAGGCCGTTTAAAGTCATACCATACCATACCATACCGTACCATACCATACCACAGTCATGCTATCAGATGTTAGAACCACGGTACATGAGATATACATACCATGGTACTGAAAGGTTATCATATTTATATGGTTTATATTGTTCTTCAAGGTACGTAAAAATACCTTGATACTTTTTAAATGGTGAACTTTTTTTCAAATTGTTAAAAAAGTATTATTGTTATTTTCAGTATTGATAATAATAATGTTTCTTGAGCATCAAATCAGCATATCAGAATGATTTCTGAAGGATCATGTGACACTGAAGACTGGAGTAATGATGCTGAAAATTCAGCTTTGCATCACAGGATTAAATTACATTTTAGGATATATTACAATAGAAAACAAGTTACTTTAAATTATAATAATATTTCACAATATTACTGTTTTTACTGTATTTTGATCAAATAAATTCAGCCTCTTGATCAGGAAATCTAATTGAAACTCCCTACAGCTTTCTTTAATAGACTAGTTTGGGAGGTTTTAAAAGACATATAGGCCTACTGTGACAGATGGTAGATAACCACAAGCCCACCCAGTCATTGATGGACTTCCTGTTTATCAAGATGTTGTCTTGACCACTTCCTGGCAAAGTGCCTTGTGAGAAGATGCCCTGTGGTATGAAATGGATGAAGCTGAGGTATAATCTTTAAAATAATTTAGAGCTCATAATGAGCTCAGATCTAGAAGGTCTTGTGGAATAAGTGTCAGTTTGAGGAAAAAGTATTGGAATGAATTTCAAAACATTCACGAATGTGTAAAGCTGTAATACAATATGCTGAATTTGTTGTTTAAATGCTGTCTGCAGCTATAATTGTTCACAGTATCTCGATCTCAGTGGCTAATGACTAGCTTGTATCGTTCAGGTTATCACTGCATCTGCTGTTCTATTTAAGCAATACAGCAGTGGTCAAACCAGCAGCGGAAAACAATCATTGTGCATCACAGGTGCATCAGAGCAGACAGCAGTGCTGAAGGGCCCAAAGCAAAGCGACCGCTGCAGCTGACTTCATTAACACGCAAAGACTGCAGGCAGGAGAGCATAATGTCTTTAATGAAGTGCCCAGCATGCATTTAGAGGTTTAAGAGCCATTCTGGAGGTCAACGTTAAGAATTTCAATAGGTGCCATGGCTTCCTGAGTCCCCTGATCCGCCATGGTCTCCTGACCCACCCTGGAGGCTTCCCTTGTCTCCGCCCTGTTCCAGTCCTGCACCAGCCTCCAGGACGCCCACCCCCCCTCCCTGATGTCCGGGAGGGGGGCGATCTGTCACGTGTATGTTCCGGTTTGCCCTTATTTGGTTCTTCCTGTGTCCTGTCCTCATTGGTTATCATTTGTGTCCAGCTTTGTTTCATTAATTGTTAATTTGATTCCAGGTGTGTCTCCTTAGTCCCTCGTTATCCTGTGTTTAAAGTCCTTTCAGTTAGTGTTTGTCGGTTCTACTTGTTGATGTCTTCTGCTATGTGTGTCTTCCTGGTTCCCTTGATTCAATTAAAATCTCATGTGTTGATGTACTCCTGGTCTCCTCGTTCCTCGCTCCGTGCTCCCTCACAGTAGTACCGTGACACGTACAGCCCACAGTGTTGTTAAATATCAAATATTGATGACTTGCTTATTGTTTCTTACTCACAGGTTCATATGAGGAGCTGTCTGTGATTCAGAGCCCATCGAGCATCACTGTGAATGAAGGAGAATCTGATCAAATCAGCTGCTGCTGGAGTAAAACAAAAGAAGAAAACAGTGATTTTAAAGTAGCTTGGTATAAGGATAAGAAAAGAATACCAGTAGAAAAGCGGCTATATCAAACGTCCCCAATGAAAAACTGCTCCTTTCTGAAAATCACAAATATAGTTAAAAATGACACTGGAGATTATGTTTGTAAAGTGATTCAGGACATACCAGTTCTGCTAGAATATGAGGGACAAAAAACTTACCTGTATATCATTCAGATTCAGACAACAACTGAAGGTGAGACTGTTTTAATACTAATTCAGATAATTCAATTAAAAGTTCACAATTTTCAAAGACAGTGTATTGTCCCTTTCAAAAAAAGAAAATTTGCTGAAAATATACTCACCCTCAGGCCATCCAATATGTAAATGAGTTTGTTTCTTTACTGGAACAGATTTGGAGAAATTTTGCAATACTGCTCTTGCTCACCAATGGATCCTCTGCAGTGAATGGGTGCCGTCAGAATGAGAGTCCAAACAGCTGATAAAAACGTCACAATAATCCACAAGTAATCCACACCACTCCAGTCCATCAATTAATGTCTTGTGAAGCGAAAAGCTGCATGTTTGTAAGAAACAAATCCATCATTAAGATGTAATCGTTGCTTCTGGCCAAAATAGTCCATAAATCCATAATCCATAATAACACTTCCTCCAGTGAAGAAAATCCATCCCCTGTTGTCCTCTCACATCAAATCATCCAACATATCTGATATGAATTGTTTTGGCTTGTAAATGGTGCTTGGCTCTGTGCATATTTCTCTCCTGATTCAGATGAGATTACTTTTTAACTGGAGAAAACAATGTTATGGATAGAGGACTCATTTTAAGTTAAAATATCTTGATGGATTTGTTTCTTACAAGCATGCAGCTTTTCACTTCTCAAGACATTAACTGATGGACTGGAGTGTGGTGTGGATTACTTTGTGGAATATTGTGGTGTTTTTATCAGCTTTTTGGACTCTTATTCTGACGGCACCCATTCACTGCAGAGGATCCATTGGTGAGCAAGTGATGTAATGCAGAATTTCTCCAAATCTATTCCGATGGACAAAAAATAAATAAATAAAAATCTCATCTACAACTTGGATTGCCTGATGGTGAGTACATTTTCAGCACATTTTAATTTTTTGTGTGAACTATTCCTTTAAGAACTGTTACATACTGAGATTATCCTATTTTACAGATATTGTTCATATGGTTTCCAGCCCCACAACCAGTGAGTACTTACATTACTAATATTCTGTTTTTCTGTGTACCAATTAGTGTATGTTTTCTCAATGTGTTGTGTCATGAATCATGAGGTTCATGTGGGTGATTTGGGTTCAAGTCCAGGGTGTGACTGTCTCCCCAAAGGTTTCCTGCCACTCTCTGTTGCCTCTGTCTAATAAAAGTGAATAAATAATACATTAATAATATTTGTTAAATATATAATCTTAAATTAGTTTCTTAAATTAGCAGGCTATATGTCATGTGTCATTGTCATTAATATTTCTCATTGAAGAAAAGCCAGGTGTAGTTGATCATCCGAAGAGAAATCCAGAAGATAAAAACTATAATTATTTGGATCCTAAGGGTAAGATGTTATATGAATATTGATCTTTTTTTTTTTTTTTATCTTAGATGTAAAAATTCAACGTATAGTAATTTGATTCTGTAAATGTTTACTAAAATGAGCTGGTTTTCATTAGAAACATCTTTGAATGGATTTAAAAAAAAAACAAGACCGTAAAGTACTGAAGTGTTTTTGGCTTTAGTGACTCAGGTTTTCCCCTTTAGAATCACCTCAAATTCCCTCTATAAAGTACGATGCGCCACAAACAAACTACAAATCCCATAAGACACTTGGGTAAGATTTATGTTTGTAAGCTTAAAAAATAAATTGTTTTTCACAGGTAGTTCGCGGGAGGTTGTGATCATTTATATTTTCAGAAGTCTGCCCTTCATCTGTCTGTTGGCGGCGTTCTTTTACCTAAACAGGAACAACAAACTAGTCTCATCATCAAGACCAGGTAATGGTTCAACATAAAACATCCAACACAAACTTCACAAAATAGTTTAGTTGTTTGTTTAGCCTAACAAACCAACCAACCAACCAACCAGACAAAGATTTTGATTCAAATTTGTTTACAACATTTGATTTGAAGCAAAGATACATTTGAAAATTGGAAAAAGGAACAAGACTGTATGCTTAACATCTTTTGTAAGGGCTGTATCACAGTTATCCAAAAAGATCCTTTACGAAAAAGAAGTTTATTCAAGTGTGTTATTAGTATACTTCTTTTAAACCAAAAAATAGGAAAGTATACTTTTAGTCTACTTATGTACCTCTCAGAAATTGGCTTTATGTACTTCTCAGAAATATACTTAAAATGGCATTTAAGTATACTTGACTTATACTTAGAAAAAGTCTAAATGTATTTTAGCTATAATTGTGCTCCTAGAATCCGTGTTTTCATTGTTATACTGTAGGGGGTGCTAGTACACATCTTCTGTAGAGAATTTCCAAAAAACACAAGTGAAGAAGAAACCGAAACAAGAGATGCTTCCACATGTATTCTAACACGATCATCAGACATAAAACAGCATCAAAACTGTGTAACATTATGGAATAAAATGTTGTCCAATGAAGAGGTAATAATGACTGTCAAGCTTTGGGGTGTTGATCGACTCTATCTACATTTTGATTTCAGATCATTCTGAATCCAAATCATAGTCATTTCTCAGCTTTTTGTTCAAAATGTTGTTTATTTCTTTATTTTTATTTATGAAACTTATCCACATTCAAATGTTTAAAAAAAGAATGCATGAAGCTAGAATAAAATGTTTTTGTTTACAAGCAGATACCCTGTTCTTTTGATGTTTTGTATGTTCAGATATTCATGTAACAAAATATATACAAATTAATACCTAAATAGGGACATAGTATTAAACTTAAAGTATGATGTAAAGTTCACTTAAAGAAAACTTACGAGTATACTTGTAGTATAAAACTACTAAACTAGTATTTTACTGAGACTATACGTCAAAGTGTACTAAAAATGCTACTACAAGTATTTAATTAGTAAACTATCAGTATACCTATAAGTTCACTTTTAGTATAGTTGCAGTACAAGCTAAACATTTTGATGTAAACTAGTTGTGTACTCAAAGTTTACTACTGTTATACTTAAAGTATACTTTTATATACTAGAAAGTGGGCCAATTTAGTCCCAAGGAGTATTGAAATAGTACACTTACAAGTATACTACTAGTACACTGATATTTGTATACATACTACATAAAGTATACTTAAAAATATACATGAACGTTACTTAAGTATACTTACTAAAATAAACTTGAAGTATACTACTTTTTGGTAAGGGATATAATACGAGAATTGCTACAATGATTTAAAAAAAAAAATCCAAAATCCAAAATTATGCAAGAATAAGACAAGATGATGATGATTGGAAATATAATTAAATCAAAACCATCAATAAAAATAATTTAAAATGAAATAAAATAAGTCACTATTTAACAACCTCAGAGCCCATTGTGGGTCTGTCTCGAAAATTTAGACTTACACAGAACAATTACAAATACATTTCGTTATGGAGATCCTTAATAGGATTTTTTCTTCTAAATACTTGACAGAATATTCAGATTTTAAAACCACAGCAGTGGTGTATGAACTTGTGGTCAGAGGTTCATTTGAATACAGTCAGTGTCTAACAACATCTCAGACCGTTTGTTTTCATGCATGAGCAACAATAGACTATTTTTGTCTCTTTATTATGACAAAGTGTGGTAAGCAAAGTTAAATAATAGATTTGTACCACAGTAGAAGTATAGTTAAAGGAATAGTTTACTCAAAAAATGATAATTTGCTGAAAATGTAATCTAAACAAACTCATCTACATCTTGGATGTCGTCCGGGTTAGAACATCACTTGCTCAGCATTGGATCCTCTGCAGTGAATGGGTGCCGTCAGAATGAGAGTCCAAACAGCTGATAAAAACATCACAATAATCCACACCACTCCAGTCCATCAGTTAACAAGTTGTGAAGAGAAAAGCTGCATTTTTGTAAGAAATGAATCCATCATTAAAGGGTTAGTTCACCAAATAAAAATTCTGTCATTAATTACTCACCCTCATGTCTGTAGCGAATCAGCTCATGGGGAAATATGAATAATTAACCATAACTAGTTATAATTAACTATTCATATTTTAGATCCATTCAACCGTAATAGCTGACCACTCAGGGTCAACCGTCTTGTCAATTCTAAGAACGTTAATTTCCTGGTTAAAGGAAATAACTTTCTTACTGTACAATTCTATAAGTTTGTTTGGGTTAGTTCACAAAAAGTAAATTCTGTCATTGGTTACTCACCCTCATGTCGTTCCAGCAACACAACTGAAATGCTCCCAGACCCAGAAACGTAGTAAGGACATTGATAAAACCACGTGACCTCAGTGGTTCAACCGTAATTTTAGGAAGCTACGAGAATACTTTTTGTGTGCAAAGAAAACAAAAATAACATAATTTATTCAACAGTTCTTCTCCCCGAGTTAACGTCTTCTGCCATTTTGGAGAGTACCACGACGCATGCGTGTGCTTTCCCCAGACCGTAATCAACGTAATCAGCGTTATTTACGTTCAGCATGCGCACGCTTTCCCCCGTTCACACCAAGAACGATAACTATAAAGATAACGATATTAGCGTCCACACCAGCGAACGATATCTTCTGTTTATTCTAAGCGCACGCTCGTCTGCCGCTTTAATTCAAGAGCTCGTTACAGCAGGATGGATTCTGATTGGCTTTCAGTGTTTTATCGTTCATCAGCTGGAAAAAAATCATTTTGAAAGTGATTCCAACGATATTGTTCCTCTGTATCGTTATCGTTATAGTTGTGGTGTGAACTACGCTATTCTTTAATATTGAGAACGATTTTTAGAACTATATCTTTATCATTATCTTTATAGTTATCGTGCTTGGTGTGAACGGGCCTTATATCTAGAATGGCCTGGGGGTGAGTAAATTTTGGGTGAACTGTTCCTTTAAAGTAAACATTTATAGCCTTAGATGTAAGTGAGTTCTGTAAGTGAGATTTTTATATTTATTTATTTTCCATCTAAAGCAGTTGAGCATGCTGTAAAGTTGGGAGAAGGACCAGATGAAGACCTGGAGGTTGGAGAGACACAGAGGAATGAAACTGAAGAGGTGAAACAGGGTGAGAATATTTCAGAACAGGAGAAAGGGAGGGTCAACAATGAGAAACCTGAAGTTACTGTTGCAACAGAAGAAGAAACAGATGAAGAAAAACCGACTGCTGTAGTTGTGAGCATTGAACAAGGTGCATCTCCAGTGCATGACAACGAAAACAAGACCATTTCTGTTCTGAACACTGATGAAAAGACACTTCAAAGTGTTGAAGAAGGGACTGTTTCTGTGCTGGGCGACTTAGTTTCAGCTCTGTGAGATGCAGGAAATGGAGTTATGGGTGTGCTGTTCAGGTCGATGATGTCACTTCCTGAATGATAGCTTGTTTGCAGACTCGTAATGGTTTGCAATGACTTTTACTGAATTCTGAAAGTAAATGAAATAAAATATGTTCATGCATGAACCGTTGTGTGTGATTGTGTATATGGTTGTGTTCAGTGTGTCCGAGGTGAATCGAGTGTGAGAGCAGTGTTGTGGTTTACTCTGGGCTTCGCTGTGATAAAATTAGTGGCGTGAGAAGGGGGTGAAAATCTGAGCGTACGAGTGTCTCATGCGTGTGAACGTTTGTGATGTGGGAGTAAAGCAGAGTTCAGATTCTCTGCAGACGCTCAGAAATGAAGTGTTCCTCCAGACTCCTGTGTGGACTTCTCATGTCATGCCTTTGTTTCACAGGTAAGTGCCACAAGAAACTCATTCCTGAATGGAAAACCAGCACAGATGCTCCTGGATACTGTTTAGTATTAGTACAAAATAAAACAAATCAAATGATTGTAGAACTGTAAGATAATGGCTGCCTTCCTATGTTGCATTCCTTTTAGGCCATAAAACCAGTGATATCAGCATTGGTTACCATGGAACCAGAGGCCTGTTCTGCTTTTCTGAGGTGTTAGGTGCATTTCGGGGGAAGGGTCCATAGACCCTCGTAATTGGCCATTTGGTTAGGTGATGGGGAGTTCGATATTATTTGTTAAATATAACAAAAAGTTGTGTGTCTGATTGGTCCAAATGCTACATGTCGTTCCAGCAACACAACTGAAATGCTCCCAGACCCAGAAACGTAGTAAGGACATTGATAAAACCACGTGACCTCAGTGGTTCAACCGTAATTTTAGGAAGCTACGAGAATACTTTTTGTGTGCAAAGAAAACAAAAATAACATAATTTATTCAACAGTTCTTCTCCCCGAGTTAACGTCTTCTGCCATTTTGGAGAGTACCACGACGCATGCGTGTGCTTTCCCCAGAACGTAATCAACGTAATCAGCGTTATTTACGTTCAGCATGCGCACGCTTTCCCCCGTTCACACCAAGAACGATAACTATAAAGATAACGATATTAGCGTCCACACCAGCGAACGATATCTTCTGTTTATTCTAAGCGCACGCTCGTCTGCCGCTTTAATTCAAGAGCTCGTTACAGCAGGATGGATTCTGATTGGCTTTCAGTGTTTTATCGTTCATCAGCTGGAAAAAAATCATTTTGAAAGTGATTCCAACGATATTGTTCCTCTGTATCGTTATCGTTATAGTTGTGGTGTGAACTACGCTATTCTTTAATATTGAGAACGATTTTTAGAACTATATCTTTATCATTATCTTTATAGTTATCGTGCTTGGTGTGAACGGGCCTTATATCTAGAATGGCCTGGGGGTGAGTAAATTTTGGGTGAACTGTTCCTTTAAAGTAAACATTTATAGCCTTAGATGTAAGTGAGTTCTGTAAGTGAGATTTTTATATTTATTTATTTTCCATCTAAAGCAGTTGAGCATGCTGTAAAGTTGGGAGAAGGACCAGATGAAGACCTGGAGGTTGGAGAGACACAGAGGAATGAAACTGAAGAGGTGAAACAGGGTGAGAATATTTCAGAACAGGAGAAAGGGAGGGTCAACAATGAGAAACCTGAAGTTACTGTTGCAACAGAAGAAGAAACAGATGAAGAAAAACCGACTGCTGTAGTTGTGAGCATTGAACAAGGTGCATCTCCAGTGCATGACAACGAAAACAAGACCATTTCTGTTCTGAACACTGATGAAAAGACACTTCAAAGTGTTGAAGAAGGGACTGTTTCTGTGCTGGGCGACTTAGTTTCAGCTCTGTGAGATGCAGGAAATGGAGTTATGGGTGTGCTGTTCAGGTCGATGATGTCACTTCCTGAATGATAGCTTGTTTGCAGACTCGTAATGGTTTGCAATGACTTTTACTGAATTCTGAAAGTAAATGAAATAAAATATGTTCATGCATGAACCGTTGTGTGTGATTGTGTATATGGTTGTGTTCAGTGTGTCCGAGGTGAATCGAGTGTGAGAGCAGTGTTGTGGTTTACTCTGGGCTTCGCTGTGATAAAATTAGTGGCGTGAGAAGGGGGTGAAAATCTGAGCGTACGAGTGTCTCATGCGTGTGAACGTTTGTGATGTGGGAGTAAAGCAGAGTTCAGATTCTCTGCAGACGCTCAGAAATGAAGTGTTCCTCCAGACTCCTGTGTGGACTTCTCATGTCATGCCTTTGTTTCACAGGTAAGTGCCACAAGAAACTCATTCCTGAATGGAAAACCAGCACAGATGCTCCTGGATACTGTTTAGTATTAGTACAAAATAAAACAAATCAAATGATTGTAGAACTGTAAGATAATGGCTGCCTTCCTATGTTCATTTGGAGACATTTTTGTACCATATTGCATTTACATAAATTTATTTAGCAGTTACTTTTATCCAAAGCAACTTACTAATGTGTAACATCACATTAGCAATACACAATGCTAAAAAACTTATTTTAATGTTTATCATTATATATATATATATATGTATATATATGTTTGATTACGTCATTAACTGAATTTTACCATACATTTTTGCCATATCTACATTCATTTTGACATAGTCACCACTGATAAGCTACTACTAAATATATTGTAGAAACTTAATTTTCTGTAAAGCTGCTTTGCAACTATTTGTATCTTGAAAAGCGCTATACAAATGAAGTTGAATTGAATTTGAATATATATATATATATATATATATATATATATATGTGTGTGTGTGTGTGTGTGTACATTTATATACACACACACATATATAGGCTATATATAGCATTTGCATAATTTTTTGGTTGCATTTTTAATTTATTTTTTGGTTAAAAAAGTATGCATTGTGTGTATGACAATGTATACATTTAAAGTATTTAAAGTACCTGAATCCATGCAGGAGACATTTAATGATTAGTATTTAGGGTATTTAAAAGAGAAATAATCTAGTTTTAGTAAGGTTACTTTGACCATCTACTAACGTTTGAAACCTCTGCAAAAAGTAAAATGCAATATAATTATTATTACATCTAATTAAAAACACACCTTAAAACAAAGAATGTTTTCTGTAAGAGGTAGGTTTAGTGTAGGTTAGGACATTCAATGCATTTTGCATTTAATCTGTGATAATTTTAATTTGATTTGATTATGGAGATGTCTCTGAGGCAACATGCCACAGATTTTTGCCAAAAAAAAAAAAATTATAATACAGAACTCAACAGTGGCAAGCTGTCATTTGTGTTTTTCTCACAGGTTCATATGAGGAGCTGTCTGTGATTCAGAGCCCATCGAGCATCACTGTGAATGAAGGAGAATCTGATCAAATCAGCTGCTGCTGGAGTAAAACAAAAGAAGAAAACAGTGATTTTAAAGTAGCTTGGTATAAGGATAAGAAAAGAATACCAGTAGAAAAGCGGCTATATCAAACGTCCCCAATGAAAAACTGCTCCTTTCTGAAAATCACAAATATAGTTAAAAATGACACTGGAGATTATGTTTGTAAAGTGATTCAGGACATACCAGTTCTGCTAGAATATGAAGGACAAAAAACTTACCTGAATGTCTGTAAAGGTGAACACAGCACTGAGGCAACAACTCAAAGTAAGATTCTTCTTCCACACTCATTCCTCTCATTCATATATGGCATTCTTTGTCATTTCACATAGCATTAAGATTCATGTCATTGGATTTAAGGGATCTAGCCAACCCTATTCATTAGAAGCAGGTGTCCACATAATTCAGGTCATGTTGTGGACTTTTATGACTTCATATAATAATATAGTAATACAAATTATCTCTAAATGATTAGTTGTCTAATTTTTTCTGCTGACATCATTACAGGCAGTGCTAGTACATCTACCCAAAAAACTCAAATCAATGGGACTACCGGCCCCCCTTCACCTCCCATCCTACCTCTATCTCTGGCTGCTGCCATTGGCCTGCTGACCCTCTGCTTGGCCTTCAGCGTGTGCAAGATGAGAAACTCCTGCAAAAAATCAGGTACACTTCAATACTGAGACTCATTACTGGTGTGTTTGTGCTGAATGCATGTGTACCGCATTGCTTTATCATCCTCAGTGTTGTACAGTACTTATGTTTTTCCTGCAAAGCTGAGACTCATTCAAAGTTAATTAAGAATTATGAGGCGTTTTACACCACTTATACCCAGTTCAATACTGTAATCACAGACTGACATTTATTATTCATTCATGGATCGGACGAATTGTACATTTTCTGCAGCTGACTAAACAACGGTACGCTGTCATACAAACATCCAGACACACCAAAAAACTTACACTGACTAACAGCACAGTGAATGATGCAAGTGCATGTTATATGAAAAATAATGTAGCCTATGTCACAAAGTTGCTGTGTGAGCAGGTCTTTCATGTCAAAACTTGTCAGATTTTGTAGCGGTGTGGCCCCTCGCACAGGAAGTGCAAATGTTGAGCTTATTCAAACACACAGTTAACATTACTTTTTAAAAGAAACAGTTATAATTTTGTTCTAAAGTTCTAAAAAAAATGATTTACTACAAAATTCTAAAACATTACTTTGAAAAAAGTATTCAGAATTTGATATTATATAAAAAACATTTTTTTATATTATATACAAATTTATATATTATATTCGCAAATAGTCAGAAATATTTTAATATAAAAATACAGACATTTTATTTTACTTATAAATAATAATTTTATGTTTATGTAAAAAATAAATAAATGTTACATTGTTAGTTTTTGCAGTCATGCATTAGTAAAACCCTTCTCAAATGAATGGTCATGAAAAGTGAGGAAAAACAATACTTTTCTATGCAATTAATAATTAATCAGACTCTGTTTTGGCAGACATTTTGCCATTTAGTATAATGGTATGTAAATACAATAACATATTAACATTAAAATTAATATTGATATAGAATGCACTGCACAGGCCAACGATATGAAAATGATTCATATGACATTGTCAGAATAGGAAAACTGAACATTTTGTAAATGCATAAACAGCCAAAGTGTTTTTTTCAACCAAACACTGCATGGTCTTGTATTGAATTAATATTAAATATATAATTCTACTTGATATATTTCTGCAATATCCCATGTAAAATTTGGTTCCTGAAGCAGAACCATTGCTCGAGTTACTTGCATTATTTCAGTTGGCTGAGCCTCTCTCAAACACTCTCACAGTTGTTTTTTATTTGTGGTAAAGTGGGAATTTTTTTGCTGTAGACATAGTTTGCATGCAACGACTTTAACACCTCTGTATATACACAAGGCTGCTTATAGTATAGACAGCTTTGTAGATTTATAATGAGAACAGTATATTTTTGTCATGTCACATCACCCGCTTTCAGTGTAAACATGTTGTCGTGCACACTGCATAGACTTAGGTGCGGTTTGGTTCTATGAGTCAGTAAAAAAAAAATAGAAAAGCGCAATACTTTTTTGGAAAGGTTTGTAAGGTATATCTGGTACGTGTTACTTCTGATTAAAAATGCCATCAGTAATGGAGATTCTGCAATAATATAAAACTGGTTGGAAACATTTGAAAGGGTTTGAATTGTCATGCACACTGTAAAAAATAAGTGTAATTTTAGCTGTAAAAAGTTTGTAAAAACGCTACGGAAAAAAAATGTTAATAGGTTAACAGTAAGTTCCCGTACTATATACAGCGAAAAACTGTAAAATATCTAACCAGACATTTCATGTAATTTTACAGTAAAATGCTGTTAA